GTTTCCACATGGGATCAGACACGGGAAAATGACACTAATTATGGGCATTGAAGGTGTTTGCTGGGAGTGGGGGTTACCGAAAAAAGAACTGAATCGTGGGCAGAAAGAACATAAGAGTGACAATTAAGAATCAGGAAAGTAGTTTTCTCAGGGAGTTCAACAGGGTATAATCCCCCGAAGACAGTGTAAGTTCGGGAAAAACAATTGTTGAAGACCCCAGAGTCGTGGTAAGCAGTCCACAGTGGCTCCAAAAGGCAATGACGAGACCTGCCAGCACTCAAAGCCAGAGCAGGGCACATGTGTTTGTTCACTCATTCATTCAACAAACATTTAAGGACCAAATCTTCTCCTGGCACTGTAGTGGGTGCTAGAGGTGGAACGATGAGCTAAAGAGACCGGCTCCTTCTCCTCCTAACACCTGCAAATCTGCTGTGAAAATAAAACATTATTAAAACAAGAAAAATAAAGAGCCCTGAGTATTAATAGTACATACAAGGAGAGAGGTAAATAGGGAGCCCAGGAAGCCTGCTAGTTGGGGTCAGGAGCAATTAACTGTGTCTCAGCTGAGATCCAAGGATCTAGGCAGCCAGGCCGAGAAGGAGAAGGCAACAGACAGTGTCAGGGAGAAGGAAGAGCAGGTGGGAGGAGCAGAGCCCACAGGGGGCGATGTACTCCAGGACTTAAAGGAGCCTGGCATGGCTGAGCGGAGGATGCTGGGTGGTGGGAAGCAGGACGGTGGGGATTAGGGGATGGGCCAGAGGGGCTGCCAGGGAGCAGGGTGGTGCCGTGACTTAGCTCCGAGGACTCTGAAGAACGAAGGAGACCTGCAAAAAAGTGGGGTGCTGTGTTTGGTCCAGATCACAAAGGAGAAATGGCAGAGCCAGGGTGACAGCACTGGTGAGAGATGGGAAAAAACTGACGCAGCCGCAAGGCCGAGCTGAGACTCAACAGGAAGCGGCAACCGAGCCACGGGCTAAGTGAGGAGAAGGGAGACACGGATTACTCCCACGTCAGGAGCCTGGACGGCGTGGAGCTGGGAATGCTGACTGAGGTGTCAGAGGAAGAAAGGAGGATTGGTGAAGAAATGAAGCAAGGAGATGGGTTTAAGCCTGAAGGGGAGAGCACACTAACAGCAACACCACCTGATCAGCATCCTTCGCCAGTGGTCCCAGGCCTTCAAGAGCTGTCTCAAGGAATGGGAATCTCGTCTTTCCCAGACAGTAAACTCCATCCCTGACGACTGAATTGCTGGAGACCGGGTGTTCTTTCTCACAGGGAGACAATGCCTGCCTCCCCATAACATGTCTGCACTGATCCTGGTTCCCCACGCAGGAGCAAATCACAGTAAGCTGACTCCCTCTTCGTGTCACTGTTCCCCATAACTGGGGAAGATTCTGGTCATTTTCAATTCACTTACATCAGACGTCAGAATCATAAGCTTGTAGGCCGAATGTCGGTGCCCTGCTACGTGTACTTCATTTCGACAACTTCATTTCACGTTGTAAGAAACTCAGTCCTAGCACGGAGAGCAAGTGTGCCCCAAATCACCCAGCTCCTCTGGCTGAGCTGATTGGAGATCCTGAGATAGCTCTGACCCCCTCGAGGGCTCTCTCAATATATCATGCTGCTGCGTGTAATCCAGCTCCAAAACCCTATGCTGAGAGCATCCACATCTCGGAGGGAGTTCTTGGCTCTGCTCTCAGGAGAGCCATTGAAATTAAACAGAGTTGAAAAATAAATAAACCCACGCAAAGTATGAATGGTATTTCCATGAATACAGGCAGCAACTCCGCTCCTTATTTATGGCTTCACCTGCCACAAAACCCAAAACTCAAGGGTGTCAATAAATGGATTGTAACGTTGTGATGGTTAATTACAGAGAAAATAATGTCTCTGCAGGCCCTTTGAGAAACACACTGATGTCTGCAGCAACTGGCAGGGAGCTTCACGGGGGCATCGCCTTTGTGTTCCGATAAATACTCAGCCTTTTCCAGAGTCTCAGGATCTCTGGGTCAGGCAGGGTAAGATGGGTCACCTCGTGTAACTGCCCCTCACGCTCAGCTCCCTCCCATGACACTGGACTTAGGCTTGTGCATCTCTCCTGCTGGGTATTGCACTACCTCCTGGGCAGCTCATCCCAGTTCTGGACAGAACGATCCTCATTATGAGGAGGTTGACATCCGGCTCCTTGCCATGTCCCTCCATAGTTCTGGGGCCACCAGAGCAATCCTCATCTCTCTTTCAGGGGGCAACCCTTTGACTGTTGGCTGAAGCTGAGCAGGTCCACTCTGAGCCTCTGCTTCTCCAAGGTAAACATCCTCAATTCTGCCCACCATTTCTTACATAACCAGATTTGAACGGGCACTGTCACTCACCTGGATTTTCCTAAGCGTGCGGCCTCATCGAGGCTGCCCTTACAGCGTGGAGTTCACAAACACAAATGCAGCAGCCCGAAGGCACACTAACTGACACTCAGTTAAAGAAATCTGTTGCTTTTGTCACCCCAGCTAAAATACTGTGTTAACACGCCCACATCACCAGCCCCTACTAAATGCAGCGTGAGATTTGGTCCCAAGCGTGGGGTTCATTCTAAAGGATCACGTTGATAGATAGAGCTTCTACCCCCAGTCTGTCAGGCTGCCTCAAAGTATTTTCATGATCTCTCCAGGTCCCCATAATCTGCCAGTCTGGTGAAAAGTTAGTGATCCCCATCACTCCACCAGCCACGAAGCTTCTAAGCTACCTTCAAAATGACTGTGGACACATCAAACCATAAACACAGCCAGTTATGAATTCGGTTTACTTCAGCTTCTGACCTCTTCTCTTTGGGAAACCATGCCATTTGCCTTTGGTGACCATCCCCGTCACCCAATCTCACCCCATGTGTTTTAAGCAACTCTCCACTATCCCGTGACCAGAAATAGGCACAGGGCTTAAAGTTAACAAGAAAGTGCCAGCCTCCCTCACTACACTCCCCTAATTGCAGTGACTGATTTCGGGAGGAATTACCAGGCAATTCAGAGGCAATATGGGGAATCAGAGAAAGGAGAAAATCCACTTTCTGCTGGGATTGACGAGAACAGGATGCAAGTCTGAAACTTCCTCTATGTACAAAAAGTTACCCAGAGAGAAACCAAGGCAGAGAAAAGCAGAACAAAGGAGCAGAGGAAGACCTAGCTGCAAAGCCCCCAGATCCAACTCTGCCTGAAGCCTGCCCTATCTTTGAACTTGCAAATCCTATTAACTATCAAATTTCCCTTTTTGCCAAAAGCCAATTTGGACTGACTTTCTGCCAAAGAGTGCAAATCAAAATTCTGCAACTTTCCTCACCCAGATTGTGTGACAACCTGTCAAATCTCTTACCAAAGTTTAATCACTTATTGAGGCCCCCATCTACAGCATGGTATTGTAGTTAAAAACTCAAGCTACTGAATCCAATCCAGGCTCCATCTTGACCGCCTCTGGGACCAAGGACACATCACCGAAGCTTATCTGCCTCATCCTCCCCGCCGAAAATAGGTTTATTAACTGTACCTGCCACAAAGAATCATTGTGAAGAAAGAGTGCATTTAGAGAAAGTCCTGTAACCATACCTAGCATGTAAAAATACTCAAAATACTAGCTGTTGGTATGTCTTCATCACTGTCATTTTTATGCCATTATTATGATTACCAGTTAGTCAGTCAAAAGTCAATGTTTTACTTATTAAACCTATACTCGCATGGGGTACCTCCGCCTTCTTGTATAAGGCTTTTTCCATCATCTCTGGGAGAAAATTTCCTTACAACAAGACCACCATGAACCCTCCTTCCCCTCTCTAATCTCTTTTCCAAAAACTCACCATCCACTGCCGTGACATAATTAACTCGACCTACCTGCCTAGACGAAGGTTCTGACTGCTCCGGGGATGCAGCTGAGGGGTGGGAACAGGGACGGGGGTGTGTCCCCCGGCCCTGGCACTGGGCTGAGCATCATGAGCCCCCCTGCTATGCAGGCACACAGTTCCACCTTGCTTACATTCAGTCTAGCTAACTCAAGGCAAATCTCAGAAAGAGAACTGAAGTTCCTAATTAAAAGGTAGCCTTGAGCTGCCAATAAAATTATGCATAAAGGAAACGTTTAAAAACACAGTTGTGACTTCCTTGAGACAGATTTTCATTTGAGATCTTTCTTCTTAAATTCAAGTGTGGGGGTAAATAAAGTCAGCTCTTCACCACTGCCGTTCCCTCCCTCTCCGAAGCCTAGAAAACCATCTTTGATAGGCAAAACATTGCACCGTATTTGAAATTGCTGGCTAGAAAAACGGCAAGTCTTGCTGTTCCCACTTATTTCTGGAAAGTAGCAGAGATCATCATTTGTTTTCACTTGTTTGAGGAGAGCAAACTCTTTGCTGCCTCCCTGTGCTCGGCCTGTCACGTAACTCACCATCTTTCATCCCCAGCCCAGCCCTGACAGCTCCAACAAACCTCTCTCTTCCACAGCACCCTGCGTTCCTCCATCACAAACGCACGTGACAACGTGCCATGTCCCTTTGTTACCTATCTGTCTTTTCCACTATACTGTGAATCTCCAGGCCTGTTATCTCCATATTCTCAGCACCAAGTTTAGTGCAAGCATCCAATAACAGCACCACCACAAAGCTGAAAGGGTAAATAAATGAATGGATAGACAGACCAACTCATCAGCTACATGGCCCCATGAATGAGCTCAGTAATTTCCCCAGGGCCCAACCTTTGTCCACACAGTGACTGACTTGATTTGACATTTGTGCACCCACTACCCTCCCACTGCATCAAGGTACGCCTCATTTTGGTTTTTTCCCTTTTTCTCCTCCTACTGATGACTGCTTCCAACTGCCAGTGTGACCCTAGACACGTCACTTTCCAAGACTAGAAATCCCCCTTCCTATTAGAGGGCACTGAGCTTCTTTTCTACGGTTCTGTGATGGCTCATGTTCCCTTTCTTCTCTCCCTCCCTCTCACTGCGGCTTCCAGTCTTACCTTCGAAGCTCCCAGAAAACAGGTAAATCCAGGTGACGGCAGGGATGCAGAGGAGACTCAACGAGGCGGCCAGGAATTTCCGTCTCCCCCTGCAGATCCCCAGCATCCTCTCAGAGGTGGCAATCCCTAAGCCCAGCGCCGTTTCTCTGTCCGGAGCATGAAGTCCTCGGCCTCCCTCATAATACTTTCTGAAAGGAAGAGAAGGGGGAAGGCCTGAGTTCTTAGCACTGGAGACAGATGTAACTTACCGAAGAGGAATATCTCACAGATCCTGAAAAGGGTTCAGGTGATCTAGGTTTCCTGCTAACCTTTCATCCCAAGAGACTATGCTTCAGCCTTGGTCTTCAAAACTGAGACATTAAGTAAATAATAAAAACTGTAAGACACACCCCCCTCCCCCCAACACACACAAATAGTACGAGGACCATTTTAGTTAGCACCTATTATGTACCAAGCCAGGACCATGTGCTGCTGTGTTTCAAAAGAAGACTAGAACAGGCTGGGCTCACATCTGTAATCCCAGCACTTTGGGAAGCCAAGATGGGTGGATCACATGAAGTCAAGAGTTCAAGACCAGCTTGGCCAATATGGCGAAACCCTATCTCTACTAAAAATACAAAAATTAGCTGGGCATGGTGGCACGCCTGCAATCTTAGCTACTCAGGAGGCTGAGCCAGGAGAATGGCTTGAACCTGGGAGGCAGAGGTTGCAGCGAGGTGAGATCGTGCCACTGCACTCCAGCCTGGGTGATAGAGGGAGAGGAAACAAAGGAAAGAAAAGAAAGAAGGAGAAAGAGAGAGAGGCGGGGGGTGGGGGGGTAACACGCAAGCAAGAGCACAACAGATGATGGATTCAAAAAAGTGTCATCTAACGAGAGAGAGAAACAGAAAAGATCTATGAGAACCGCAAGCCGAGATCTGCATGGACCACTCCGAAAGGGCAGATGAAGGTGCTGACTGCCCTGTGTGTGGTGAGGATGGCAGAACGGGTCCTATGTTCTGGGCAGAGGAGACTGAGAAAGGCACTGGCGTCGACCAAAGAGTACATGCCAAGGCAAGGAGATGGGAGAGGCCACGAGCTCCATGGGACGGTACCCTAAGCACAGCTGAAAACCTTAGCACGCTCAGCAGGGACTGTCTTCACAGCTTCCACCTTCAATATGGAAGAAGAGGTCTAGAGCGTCACAGTAACCATTAAAACATGCAGAGAAGGGGTAAGAACAGACAGCCTGGGGAGAGAGTATCCCCAGAACATGGCAGCAGACTGGCCGTGATGTATCCAGGGAAGAGGGAGGTCAGTGTAGACAGAGTGGATGGCCCATGATCTTTCACCTAAGTATCTGCCCAGGGAATCATAAAGGAGTTAACAACACCAAACGACCCTCAGACCTTATCTCTGCCCACCTCCTAACATAGGTGTCACACTCACTATAGGTGGAAAGATAAACCCACATGGTGTCTCCCTAACAGAGCGGAACTCACCCATTAGACACAGCTGTAAAAAGCTTCAGAGTCCCTAAGAAGAGATGGCTACAAAACACCTGGCTGGGTTCTCCCCCTTCTATATTCCCAAATGCATGCTTTCCTCTTTGGTAACCCGTGTACCACCTGACAGGGTGACAGTGGTCTGGCTCAACTGACTTCTTCCCCCACCAGTCTTGGCATTTCCAGAAGACAGGTATCCACCCCATCAGATCCACCTGCATTCCCTAAGAATTCGCATACTGCCTGTCAGCTGCAGGTGTCTGGTAATTGTCTATTAAATGAATAAATGGAATCAAATTCTATCCAGAGGCCACCTTCTCAAGCTTCAGGAGTCTCTGTTCAGTGAGCTGCCAGCAATAAACACCTGATAGAGCCGATCTCAACTGTCAATGCTGGGTCCCCTTCTGCAACCATTCTGACACGGTTTTCTAAATGGCCTTCTTTTGGAACAGATGAAAGACCATAGGGCTGGAGGTTGCGGACTAGAAAGTAAAATTGAAAAAGGAAAATCCTTCTGGACAGAGGATGTTGACTTGAAGAAAGTCCCCTCTAGGGAATGTTCATCTGAAGCATAAAAAACAAACCCTACGCACGCTTTCTGCTAGTCACAGAGAATGAGAGCCACCAAGACCCATGAATCTCCTAGGACAAAAGGAAGTGCAGGAAAAGAGGGCTATACAGTTAGAGAGAGACGAGTTCAAGCCCAGATGCTGCGCTGGACTGGCTGCACCCTGACAAGTCCCCTGTCGCTGGAGACGCTTCCTTATTCATCTATAAATTGGGATGATACCCTCTATCTTGGAGGGTTGCTTTCAGGCCCAAATCTGAGAGCCCTTGAAGAAGTGCTTGCCAAAGATTGGTTAAGTACTGAAGAAGGGGTGATCCTTCCCAGAGGGCAGAAAAGCACCCTTAACGAGGTTTTCTCTCTCTCCACTCCCACACTTCCCCCACAAGGTTGGGTATAAAACAGATCCCAACAAATAGGTATTGCCCAATATGCCAGATAGGTGATTTAAACCTGAAGGATCCACCTACTCAATTCTCCTTCGGGAGTTCCAGTTCTCCCTAAGTATCTGTGAAGCCTCAAGTCCCTCATATAAAATGGTATAGCATTTGCATATAACCTACACCTATCCTCCTGTATACTTTAAATCATCTCTAGATTGCGTCTAATACCTAATGTAGGCCAGGCATGGCGGCTCGCTCCTGTAATCCCAGCACTTTGGGAGGTCAAAGCAGGCAGATCACGAGGTCAGGAGATAGCTGGGATTACAGGCGCATGTCACCACATCCAGCTATTTTGTGTATTCTTAGTAGAGAAAGGGTTTTGACATGTTGGCCAGGCACCTCAGGTGACTGACCTGCCTCGACCTCCCAAAGTGCTGGGATTACGAGCATGAGCCACTGTGCCCAGCCGATCTGTTAAGCTACAAACACAGGATTCAAAGCTAAATGTATGATAATAATGTGATCACAAGTATCCTTCAGTCCAAAGCAATAAATTTTATATGCATGTACAAATAACCTACGTATCTAGATATACCAAAAACAAAAGGCTTAAACGTTGAAAATTGTCTTTCGGTTTAGAACATGACTAATTTAAACAAATTAAAATATATATACTTCCTGAAATTTTATACAAGCAGCCTGCATTGCTTTTATAATTTAAAAGTTATTTAAAACTGGCAAGGCGTGGTGGCTCACACCTGTAATCTCAGCACTTTGGGAGGCCGAGGCAGGTCTATCACCTGAGACCAGGAGTTCAAGACCAGCCCAGGCCACATGGTGAACCCCTGTGTCTACTTAAACACACACACACACACACACACACACACACACACACACACACACAAGAATTAGCTGGGTGTGGCGGTGCATGCCTGTATTCCCAGTTACTGGAGAGCCTGAAGCAGGATAATCGCTTGAACCGGGGGGGGGGGCAGAGGTTGCAGTGAGCTGAGATCTTGCCACTGTACTCCAGCATGGGTGACAGAGTGAGACTCCACCCCAAAAATAAATAAATAAAGTTATTAACAGTTTCAATCTCTAGGTCTTAATTATACTGCTTGCAATTCAAAATATCTCAGCACAGTGTGTGTGTGTGTGTGTGTGTATTAAATTTACAAGCTCAGTGCAGTGAGTTAACATCTGTCATGTCCTAATTGGGAATACACCCTCCAGAGGTGGCTGGTTACCATTTGAGAGACTCCAGTCAGAAGCCCACATTCCAAGCGTGTGCTCCAGTTCTCTCTCATCAGCACCAGAGGCTGTCTTTTAATTAGCATCATGGCTGTTAGAAGTAATTTTTAACGGGTATTTGAGATGTGTGTATTTGTCTAGAAACACTGCACATGAAGAAGGAATAAAAATCTAAGAAAAAAATATGTATACACATACACATACACACACACATACATACATATGGAGAACAAAATGGCTCAAACCATTCAGAATTGCTTGGGATCCCAAACTGACCGTAGGTGCACACAACAGTTGGAGGATTTGTGCCACCTGATTCTAACTAGAAGACTGCCTGAATCCTGCCACTCACACCTTGTCACTCATCTTCAGTGAACCTTTCCTGCAAGGTGCTGTCCCAGCACCTAAAAGAGGAAAGAGCTGGACATCACTGAGGTTTTGTTATAAAACAGGTCCTATGGCAGATGGATCATAAAGATGTTAGCTTTGTTATCATTATTTATATTACTGCCATTATAATTTTCCTACTGTAGTCCTTTACAAAAGACACACACACACACACACACACACACACACACACACTCCCCAGCCCCCTACCCTGCCTACTGCATATTGGATGTCTTTCCTCCTTTCTGGGACCTCAGTAGAACTTTCAAGTCCTCACTGCTTCTACAGAGGGCCTCTCTGTCAGGTCTAGTCCTGAAGGCTCTCCTTTTTTGCTTCTAATCTCCTACAGGAGTCAGCAGCACACTCCTAATCACTTAATTATCTTCTATTCATTTCCGTCCACTACCTAATCTCTCTTCATTGGACTAAAACCTCTTCAGGACAAAGGATCTAGGTCTTCCAGAGTTAGCTTTAAGCCTCTCTCTGAGAGCAGCATCTAAGACCAAGGAATGTTTACACTAACCCACCTCTACTCCAAGGGTGGTCCTTGAACCAACAGTCATTAGCCTCAGCTGAGATCTTTTTAGATAAGCAGAATCTCAGGCCGAAGCCAGCCCCACTGAATCAAAACTGGCATTTTAACAAGATCTCAGGTGATTTGGGTACACATGAATGTGTGAGAAGCCTAAATAATGGGTTAAAAAACAAAGCTGGCCACCCCTTCTCCTCTCGGCTCCTCACTTCACCAGGGCAGGAATCTGCCACTGCAGTGGGACAAACTGAAAACTGTTCGCATCCTCGACTTTGTTGATTGCAAATACGTCACAACGGCTTCCTAAGAGATGAAAGCAGAGTTTCTACACATGTGCCTTTTTCCAACTAAACAAAAACATCTATGGACTCAGGGTGGCTCTGATGCTGTGCCCAGCTTCTCATCAACTTCCCCCACACTTGAGTACTGACCGAACAGCACCAGCCCCACCCACTTCACTCCACCCACCTTACCAAAGAGAAAACCGAGACTAAGAGAGGCTAAAGACGCTGACGGAGTGGTTGGAAACCCTGGGAGACTCAAATTCTCATACTGTTTCCTATACAAACAGAAAATCAATTCTTTT